CAGCCCCTGGCAAATATGAATCTTCAATTCTTGCTCTATTGATTTACCTATCCTGGAGATTTCATATAAGTGGAATCACATAATATATGACCTTTGGTGTCTGCCTTCTTTCATGTAGTATAATGTCTTCAAGGTACATCAAAGTTGTAGCATGCATCAACCCTTCATTCCCTTTTATGGCTGAACAATATTTCACTGTTTGGATATACCACAATTTGTTTATCTAGTCATCCATTAATGAACCTTTGAGCTATTTCCACCTTTTGGTTATTGCAAATAGTGCAGTTTATGAATACATGTGTGTATATTTGTTTAAGTAGCAGTTTTCAATTTTGGGGGTATAAATCTAAGAGTGGAATTGCTTGGTCATATGGTAATTCTGTTTTTAACTTTTTGAGGTACTGTGTAGCAAAAGTTATATATTTCTGTCTTCTCCTGACCACTTTCTGGGCTCCATGGCCATATTCTCCCACTCCACAGCTGGTGGATGTCAGGGGATATTCATTGGTTTTAAAATTAATCTATTTAATAGAAAATTAGCCAAATATAACTTTTCAAGTAAATTTTACTGCAAATTCATCATAAGATGCTTTCAAAATCAAACAGGAAATGATTCTTGGATTGTAGAACAGCATTATCAACAAAAACTTTTCTCACTGTCCAGGATGGTAGCTGTTAGGCACATGTGACTCTTGAGCACTTGACATGATGTGACTAGTGAGCCTAAGGCACTGAATTTTAAATTTAATTTATTTTTTAAGTTTAAAATTTAAATAGCCACATGTAGTGCCTAGTGGCTACCACAGTTATAAGCTGCATCCCTCATCTTCTATAGTAGAGCAAAAACTGAAACTTATCCCCCAAGTAGTAGTTATTTTTCACATTAGTAAAGGGAGATAGGCTTGGATATGCTTTTTAAAAATATTTAGTTATTTATTTGACTGTGCTGGGTCTTAGTCGTGGCACAAGGATTTTCAGCTGTGGCATGTGGGATCTAGTTCCTTCACCAGGGATCAAACCTGGGCCTTCTGCATTGGGAGCATGGATTTTAGCCACTGAACCACCAAGGAAGTCCCTAAATTTATTTTTCTTTATAGATATCAAGCATAAGTACTCAATGCTAGTAAGGTTAGTACAAAAATGGTATTTTTTAACAGTGCTGGTGGCAGTGTAAATTTCTTTCAACTAAAATTCATTTATTCATATATCCATTCATTTATTCATATTCAATAAATGTTTTGGTTGGATGCTTCCATGTGTCAGGCACCATAATATGCACTGGAAGACACAGAGATGACCAAAAACATTATCTTTCCCCGCAAAAGCTCGAAGTCAAGCAGCCAGGTAAACACAAAATTGCAATACAATATGATGAAGGATTTTACGTATGTTTTTTTCACTTAATCCTTGCAATAGCCCTAATAGTGAGTTAGGTATGATTTCTCTATTTTACAGACAATGAAGCTTGACTTTGAGAAGTTAATAAATTGAGAAATGTTGCACTGTGAATGCTGTAATTGAGATATATACAAGGTCTACTTCTTGTACAAATAAGGGAGTAATTCACTATGCTTGCAGTGGAAGAAGGGAAATTTTGAGCTGAATTTTGAAGGATAAGCAAGAGATATGCCCAACAACAATCCACTTGGTTCTATGTCTTTAAGATTTTTTCCACATAATCTGACTCAGTAACTCCATTTAGGAGAACTTATCTCACAGAAATATCCAAAAGTAAGGGGAAAAACCCTATATGAAGAGGATGTACATGTCTCTATTATTTATAATAGTGAATGATTGCTCTGGGTCTTCCCAGTGCACCAGGCCCGAGCACTTGTCAAAAACCACTACAATATTGTAAAGTAATTAGCCTCCAACTAATAAAAATAAATGGAAAAAAAAATAAAATCAATGTAACAAAAAAAAAATAGTGAATGATTGGAAACCATCTACATGTTTAACAATGAGAGGATAGTTAAATAGATTACAGTCCCTCTACTCTATGGAACATTGATGCTACCAATGAAAAAAATTTAAATGATAATTAAAAAGACTATGTAGCAATATCAAAATTACTATGGCATGATGTCAGGAGATAAAAGCCAGATACCACACTGTGTATTCATTATGAATGCAATTATGGAGACTATGATTACATATGAACAGAGCTACAATGGACACACACACACACACACACACACACACACACACACGGAGTTGCTATCAGGCTGTGGGGATCAGGGTAAGGTTATTTTTCTTTATTTTTCAAAGTGTTATTTAATGTTATTTTATCTTTTACTATAAAATAAGGGGACATTTTAAAAGAGACATCAAGCCTGGTTTTAATGTGACTTTTACTTGTTCCAAATAGTCATTTCCACTGGAATATTTTGAGATTCCTTTTAAAATAGATCAAATATGGAAAATATTTTGTGGTCCCCTCTGTCTTAGTCAACTCAGACTTAGTCCCTAGGCAAGGCAATGAAAAAATAAGTTGAGAATTGTTGGGTTTTTTTGCACATGTTTTAGTGGTCTTGATTTTATCGTGATGCACAACAGAAATCACATTGCTGTCAAATATTTGCTGATGTTTATGAGGCCATGGATTTGGAATAAGAGAGCTAATGAGCGACAGTCATTTCATTTTCAAAATGCCTCTCTCCTGGAATCGAAGTTGGGTTCTAAGTGTATTTCTTTTTATTTTATGTGATGACATTAATATAAATCCAAGTCTCAATTTGGTAATGGGCTGCTGCTGACAGACAAATGTGGAAGAGGGAAGGAAGTCTTTGTTGTTCTTAAGTTGTTGGGATGAGATAGCTGTACAAATATAACCTCAAGAATGCTGTCACCTTGGTGCGATGCAGGGTAAGCCCTGGAGGCACAATTTCCGTTTACTAGTGGGACTGTCTCAAGTCTGAGATAAGCAGTACAGAGGTACTATTTTTATACAGGGTTTATTTCTCATCCAACAAGTAAGGTCGACTATGAGACCCAGCATGACATAGCGGCTAAGGGTTACACAGACCGAGACTTAAATCTTGGCACCTCCATTGGTTGGCTATGTGATCTATGTTTTGGTCTTCTCATCTATAAACAGAGAACAGTAATAGAGGCACTTTATCGAGTTGTTCTGAGGATTATCTGAGACAATACCTAGTGCTTAGCCTAGAATCTGACACACGCTGATAGCTTAATAAATGATAACTGCCATTATTAACATGCATATGATACTGTGCTAAGTAACAGGTCGTTTACTTGTCTTTTTCCTTTACTACATTATAAGTTACTTGACATCAGGGGCTCAGTGTGACTTGTTCACCATCATATCCCCTGTCCCTAGTGCACAGTTTAGGACTCCATAGTTGCTCAAGAAAAAGTTGTGACTGTTTCATATTCTTTTATGAGCTGGTTCGTCAGATGTGGCCACAAGAGGAAACAGAGGAGAGACTTGGGGAAGCAGAGTTTATAATACTCACAGGTGCTAGACACAGAAGGCTCAGCACACCCCATAGGGCTACCGAGAAAGACACCAGAGTGGTCAGGAGGCAGAAGATAGGAGGGAGGGGAAGGTGGAGGCCTTGGCCTTTATGTTGGAATTTCTGGGGTGGGGGAGGGGTGCTGGTGGGGAGAGTGGGGAAAGGTAAGGCTGGGCAGAGGACTTTCAGAGGGGCTGCTGAGCTAGTTTGAATACTTCGGTGGGCTTTGGGCTATAGGGGTGGTCCCTACCTGTCTGGCACCTGGCCCTGGGGTGATTAAGGCAGAGGAATATTGTCTCCTAGGATGTAAGGGCCAAACAGAGATACCACTTTGGATTGGTTAGTTTGAAGATCAAAGACATACTCCCAGCTAGGTTCTTTCTAACTCTAAGAATGGCTAGCCCCAGAAATGGCTGTCTCTCCCCAGCCAGAAAAGTTTTTTAGGTTGTCAAAACATCTTAGCATACAAGAAATTGAAAATATTTACAATACAGTGGAATTAACTTAATGACTTCCTAGTGAATTTTGGAAATACCAGAAAGCCCATGCTCTTCAGGAGTTTACAGACATTGTGGGTGGGGACAGAGGGTGCAGGGAGATGTGGACAGGCAGCTAGGGGTTTCAGGGAATAGGAACTCATCTTAAAACCAGAAAAATGCAGGGGACAAGGGTTCAACCCCTGCTCAGGGAGCTGAAATCCTGCATGCTGCATGGTGTGGCCAAGATAGAACAGAAAAACAAGTTTTTTAATACTAGTTCCACTTACTGGCTATGTGGCCTTTGGAATGTCAGTCAACCTTTCTGAGCCTCAGTTTCCTCAACCTTAAAAATGGGAATAATAATAATAATGATAATAACAATAATAAAGTGCTCAAAGTGAATGTCTGTGATGTGAATTTATGTGATATGTATATATGAATTTGTGTGGTAAGTGTATACTTTGTAAACTGAAAAACAGTATACAGAACTAAAGAGGTGTTATTATTCTAAGTATATGCTATGCTAGGAATGATAAGTTTCAGACATGTGGGCTTTATTCTCTGTAAGAGGTATGAAGTGTTAGTCGCTCAGTTGTGTCCGACTCTGTTACCCCGTGGACTGTAGCTCGCCAGTTTCCTCTGTCCATGAAATTCTCCAGGCAAGAATATTGGAGTGGGTAGTCATTCCCTTCTCGAGGGGATCTTCCCAACCCAAGAATCGAACCCGGGTCTCCTGCATTGCAGGCAGATTCTTTTTTTTTTTTTCAAACTCATAAGAGCACTTTTTATTTGAGGCAAAAAAAGTCTAGCTGAAAGGATTACAGTTCCAAGCAATCAAAACCCCACTGTTAGAGGCACTATTCTGATTTTGTAAATTCAATTTAGAAAAGAGTATTTGGGTTGCATGTTCCCCAGTTCCCAGACTAGAAGGGCAAAAGAAAACTGAAAAGACTCCTACTAATCTACTGATTCTGCTCTTTGGACCCGACACCAGACTGGCCAAGCCCTCGCTGACCCACCACTGAGGGACACGGGCCAAATTACGCTACACATAAGAGAAGTGAGGTGGGAGACGGCAGGTCACCTGGGCAAGGGCAGGCACCTGCAGCTTCAAAACTCCTTCAAAACTCCGAAAGGGGTAATCCCTGTGGGAGGCACAGCTCACCAAGGCACAGGCCCTCCAGGCCCTGTTGCAGCTGAGTAAGGTGTTCATATCCTCCTTGTCCAGTTCAAAGTCAAAGACCTGGAAGTTCCAGCAATGCGTTCAGGCGTCACTGACTTGGGGATCACAATCAGGTTCCTCTGCATAGGGAATAGGATCAGCACCTGGGCTGTGGTTTTATTGTGCTTGTCTGCAATCGCTTTGATCCTGGGGTCCTCCAGTATGGAAGGGTCCTCGGGCTTGGCCCCGGGCCTGTCGGGAGAGCCAAGGGGTGCTCACCACAATGCCTTTGGAGTTGCAGTGCTGGGTTAACTTCTCCTGAGTGAGGTATGAGTGGTACTCGATCTGGTTAACCGCCGGCTGGTATTTTAAGCCAGGTTTGTTTAAGATCTTCTCCACTTGGAGATGGTTGAAGTTGGAGACACCAATAGCTTTCACCAGCCCTTCATCCACCAGCTCTTCCATGGCTGTCCATGTATCCACGAAATTTTTCTCACTGGGAATCATGTTGCCGTCCTCATCCAATGGGAAGAAGTCTTTCCCAGGCTTGAAGCCCGTGGGCCAGTGGATGAGGTAGAGGTCCAGGTAGTCCAGCTTCAGGTCGCTGAGCGTCTTCTGGCAGGCACCTTTCACCAGGGCCTTGTCATGATACGAGCACCACAGCTTGCTGACGATGAAGAGGTCCTCACGCTTCACCACCTCTCCTGCAGCTTTGCCTGGAGGGCCAAACCCACCTCATTCTCATTCTGGTACACATGGGCACAGTCAATGTGACGGTACCCAAGGTCAATCGCCACCTTCACAGCCTCCGTCACTTTGCCTGGAGGGGACTTCCAGGTGCCCAGCCCCAAGATGGGCATCTTGGCGCCAGTGTAGAGCATGATGTGGTTGGCCATGACTGCTTGAGCTCTGCTGACCGGGATCAGAGAACCGTGCCAGGCAGATTCTTTACCAACTGAGGCACCAGGGAAGCCCTTTCAGCCCCTGAACTGTGATAGAAACACCAAACTGATTTACCTGGAGGATTAGATGGGCAAGTGGATGCATAGATAGGCACAGAAGAGTTAGTTCCAATATTGATTTGATTAATGAGCAAAGGAAAAGCACAAAGCATATGTGTTGTGCATGTGTGTATGTGTGTGTGTGCGTGTGTGAGCCTTCCTTAAGTAGAAGCTTCAGAGCTTTGAACCCAATTAGTGATCTGTCATTGTTGTTGGAGTCACTAGACTGGCACCTTGGGTTTGGCACCAAGAGGAGCACATCAAATGGTTCGCCAGTTCATGGCACCATAGAATCCTAAGCTGTGGTAGAAACTATTTTTCTGATATGTTCAGAGAAGAACAAAATATAATGGTTATATGCAAATCAGTCTCTATTTGAGCATAACAGTTTAAAATGCTGGATTCTGTGGGGGAGGAAAAATAATTTTTTCTTTACCCTCCTAGATTCTTGGCTGGGACCCCCATAATAAGAGATGGATTAACAGGAGAAAAACAAACAGAAGTTTAATAACATGTATACTCTTTGTCTACATGAGAGAGAGCCAGAAATCTGAATAACTTCCCCCAACGGCCCCAGGTACCACCTTAAAAATTGTCTCCAACTAAGGCAAAAGATTGGGGGTGGGGGGAAGGCCAGCATTGGGAGGTGACCAAGAAAGCACAGTAAACAGGGTAAGATTATTATGCAGATTTAAGCCCGAGCTTTCTCCATTGATAAGAGTTTCTAGGGGTTTACAGTCATTTTTCTCTTCCTGGTACAGTGATGGAAACACCCTTACAAATGGAGATTTCTCTCATAGATGGAAATGTGTCTTACAAAAGGTTAACTTCTACTTGGTTTTCCGAGCTTTGCCTGTGTCTGCTGAAACATAATCAGCTCAAAATAATCCTTATGCCAAAGATATATTTAAGGGTGTCAAATTATGCTTGCCTTCAATTCGGTTACTTTTAATTTTCCTTCTTTCTTTGATTAATTGTGTTGTGAAACTATTGTGTTGTAAGACAAACACAGTCTTGGGGTAAGGTAGTTTGGGGCTTAAATCTCAGCTCTGCGTCTTATTAGCTGGATAATGCTGGGGAAGGTCCTTACTGTTCCCGGAGCCCTAGTTTCCGTCTGAAAAATAAGGAAAGTTTTTGGGAGGATTTAATGTGATACTGTATATAAAGCAACTGACACCTCATAAGTGTGCCAAAAATAGTAGGCAAAAGATAAAGAATGTTTTGGTTGTCTTTTGAAAAGAAAAAAAATCACTGGAAAGAGACTGGCTCTTCTAGCATTGACTCATGGGGCCTTTATGAAGTCTTTGATGGCAGCATTTTTCATATATGTTAATCAACAAACACATTTTCCCTATGAGAAGAGTACAAGTATCTTCACTGGTCTGATTGGGGTCAGTTGTTTTCCTCCACGTTATAAACTAACTCAGAGTTTTTGTGGAAATGAGTTTTTCTTTCAATTTATTTCTTATTGAAATCTAGTTGAAGTCCAGTGTCATGTTAATTACTACTGTACTGCACAGTGACTCAGTTATCCGCACACACACATATATACATTATTTTTATATTCTTTTCCATTATGGCTTATCACAGGATATTGAATATAGTTCCCTGTGTTATAGAGCAGGACTTTGTTGTTTAACCATTATATGTATATATACCAGTTTGAATCTGCTGATCCCAAACTCCCAGGCCAACCCTCACTCACCCCCCACCCCCTTGGCAGCCACCAGTCTGTTCTCAATGTCCCTGCTTCTGTTTCTGTTTTGTAAACAGGTTCATTTGTGTCATATTTTAGATTCCACATCTAAGTAATATCATATGGTATTTGTCTCTTTTTCTGAGTTACTTCACTCATTTATGTTGCTGCAAATGGCCTTATTCCATTCTCCTTTATGGCTGAGTAATACTCCACTGTATATATATACCACATCTTCTTTATCCATTTATCTGTCTATGGACATTTAGGCTGTTTCCATGTCTTGGCTATTGTGAACAGTGATGCTATGTACATAGGGGTGCTTGTGTCATTTTGAATTATAGTTTTGTCTGGGTAATATAATTGCATTTTTATGTAACTTAATAAAACATTTTGTTTTCTCCTTCTTCTGCCCAGGTTGGTTCTTTGATCCATTCTAAACAATACCAGCAGATTAACTGTCCTGAAGTATCAAGTTGAAAGTAGCATTTCTCTACTCAATAGAGTCCAGTATCCCCCTGCCCCCATGCCCCCTGCCACTTCCTACCAAATTCAGAACTTCCCAGCTTGGCAGTCAAGGCCACATATGGGACCTTTATAGTTTTATCCTATGTTGCTCTAAACTAAGGGATCAGTAAATGTCTAACAGTCAATTTCTGTTGACCTTAAACAAATAGCCAGATATTTCTCCAGCAAAGATGGGTTTGTTCAGGATCAGCAAAGAGTTGGAATTCAGGGCCTGCAACCACAGTGTCCAAGGGACGGAGAATGCTTTTATAGAGGGGGAAGTTGGGAAGGCTTGAGTAAACAGAGTCCATGGCTTTTCACTGGTTGAATCCACCCCTGGAAAGAAATTTTCTTCTTCCTGTTGGGCTCTGCTATTATCACAGGGCATGAGAGCTCCCCCTTCTGGTCTCTCAACTCTTTAATGGACCTTTCTGTTTATTAATCTTTACTATTTCCTGTATATAATATGTGCTTTCTTGGAAAGTGGTTTGGAAGAGGAGAGAGTACAGGAAAGAAAAAGTAGAGAATTACTATGAGGATTTCAAAACGCATACATGTGGTTATATACGCATACACACACGTGTGCATGCATGTGTGTGTGTGTTTATATAACCCAACCAACTTTTCTCATGCTCTAGGAGGATTTCTTCTCCTATGAAAAGACAGCTGGAAAGAGCCACTTATGTGGTCTATGCCACTGTTAACTGAACTACCATTATTCCTTCAACTTGCTTCAATCTGTCTTGCCTCCACCTTTTGGCTCATATTATCTTCTCTGTTTACGGTCTTCCACTTTCTGCCCTGCATCCATCCCTATCTCCACCTATGAAAATCCTACCCCGCCATCAAGGTCAGGTTCCATTTCCACCTCTGCTTCACACGCCTTCCCTCTCTTCTGAGTTCTTCGTGTACTGCCCATGCAGTGTCAACCTCTTCTAACCTTGTGTTTTGGTGTTTTGTGTTTCTTACCTGATGGCAGGGCTGCCAAAGACAGCTGTTCAGGTAGTGCTCTGAATTAAGGTACCCGGCCAAGGGCCAGAGAGGGGCTGAAATCTACCTGCTAAGATGGATTGGGAGCACTTGGTGGGAGAACTATTCCTAATTTACATAGATACACAGTGCATGCTATCAGCTGTTAAAGGAACAGTTCCTCGAGGAAGATAATAGATCATGACCATCTTTGGGCTTCCGTGGTGGCTCAGGTGGTAAAGAATCTGCCTGAAATGCAGGAGACTCAGGTTCGATCCCTGGGTCGGAAAGATCCCCTGGAGAAGGGAATGGCAACCCATTCCAGTATTCTTGCCTAAAGGATTCCATCGACAGAGGAGCCTGGAGGGCTACAGTCCATGGGGTTTGCAAAAAGTTGGACACGACTCAGCAACTAACACACACACACAGCACTTTGCCCACTGCTCGCTGGAAGCCTCCTTGTAGGCATCAAACACTGTGACTCTTTTCTCTCCCTCTGATGGTTAATTTTATGTGTCAACTTAACTGGGTTAAAGGATGCCTAGACAGCTGGTAAATCCTTACTTCTGGGGACTTCCCTGGCTGTCCAGTGGTTGAGACTCTGTGCTTCCAATGCAGGGGGAGCAGGTTCAAACCCTGGTTGGGGAACTAAGATCCCACATGCCATGCAGTGTGGCAAAAAAAAAAAATACCACATTCATAGAAACAGAGTAGAATGGTGGGTTATTAGGGGATGGGGGAAAGAGATATTGGGAGATGTTGGTCAAGGGGTGCAAACTTTCAATTATGCAAGATGAATTGTTTCTGGAGATAATATGCAGCCACATGACTATTGTTAACAATAATATATTGCCCACTTGAAATTTGTTCAGAGGGTAGATCTGACGTGTTCTCACCACTCACAAAAAATGATTACCATTTGAGGTGATGAATAGATTTCTTGGCTTGATTATGATGAATATTTAATAATTTATACTATGTCAAATCATGTTGTACCTCTTAAATTCATTTAATTTTAGTAGTCAACTATCACAATAAAGCTGGAAAAAAGTTTGATATATATAAATTAAACTACAAAAATAATGGAAACTAATCCAAATGTCCATTAGCTGGTGAATTGATAAACAAGATGTCATTTCTTCTTTAAATGCTTAAGAGAGCTTTAAATGTTTAAGAGATTAAAATTAAATAGAAATGCCTAATGCAATTTACCAGTGAAGCCATTCTAGGTTTGGCAGTGTTTTTATAGGAAAGTTTTTAATTACAAATTCAATTTCTTTTATAGATATAGG